CTTATGAACTGCGCACTGGTGCGCAGTCATTTTGGAACAGGAAGTTGCCATCCCTAAACTGTTCCCATAGAGTTGGGAGCATGAAATTGTCCATAATGGCTTCAAATGCTGCAGCATTAAGAGGTCCTTTCACTGGGCCAAGCCCAACCCCTGGAAAAAAACCCTGCACCATAATCCCCCCCTCCACCAAACTTTACATTAGGCACAATGCACTCAGGCAAGTACAGTTCTCATGGCAACTGCCAAACCCAGACTTGTCCATCGGATTTCCAGAAAGAGAAGCATGATTTGTCACTCCAGAGTCCAGTGCTCTAGAGTCCAGTGGCGGCGTGCTTTATACCACTGCATCCGACGTTTTGCATGCACTTGGTCATGTAAGCCTAGGGTGCCACTGCTTGACCATGGAAACCCATTCCATGAAGTTCTCAACGCACTGTTCTTGAGCTAATCTGAAGGCCACATGAAGTATGGAGGTCTGTAGCTATTGACTCTGCAGACAGTTGTGTCTCAGCATGCGTTGTCCTCACTCTGTGATTTTACGTGGCCTACCATTTCGTGGCTGAGTTGCTGTTGTTCTCAATTGCTTCCGCTTTGTTATAATACCACTAACAGTTGACCGTGGAATATTTAGTAGTGAGGAAATTTCATGAATGGACTTATTGCACAGGTGGCATCCTATCACGGTACCACGCTTGAATTCACTGAGCTCCTGAGAGCGACCCATTCTTTCGCAAATGTTTGTAGAAGCAGTCTGCTTGCCTAGGTGCCTATGTGCTTCATTTTATACACCTGTGGCTATGGAAGTGATCGGAACACCCAAATTCAATGATTTGGAGGGGTGTCTCAATACTTTTGGCAATATAGTGTATATGGGCTATGGATAATCTATCACATAATTATTGCCATTTAATTGTTGTCATATCTTTATTTTTCTCCACTGTGTTTATAGAATAACAGATGAACCTGATCAGGGGTGTAGCAAATTGGTCATGGACCCAGGGGCAGATGTGTCTTTTGGGCCCTCTCTTCATTCTTATCATATTCATACACAAACTCATAATGGTAAAGTACACCCACTGGCCACTTTATTAGGTACACCTGTTCAACTGCTCATTTAAACAAATATCTAATCAGCCAGTCATATGTCAGCAGCAGAATGTGCAAAATCATGCAGATGCAGGTCAGGAGCTTTGGTTAATGTTTATATTCATTTGGTTAATGAATGAGGTGATTCAAGTAACTTTGAAGGTGGCATGGCTGTTAGTGGCAGACAAGCTGGAATGAGTATTTCAGAAACTGCCGATCTACTGGGATTTACACACATAACCATCTCTAGAGTTTACAGAAAATGGGACAAAAAAGAAAAATATCCAGTGAGCGGTGGTGCTCTGGGCAAAAATGTCTTATTGATGGCAGAAATCATTGAAGAATGACCAGTCAAGCTGACAGAAAGGCAACAGTAACTCTAACCACTTGTCACAACTAAGGTATGAGGAAGAGCAGAGGTGGACATTTCAGGTTCAGAAAATAACAATCCAGACCAAGATTTTGTTAAGCCAACCACTTACAGAGTATAAAGAGTCACGGTCACAGAGTGCTCAACTGGTTGGTTGAAACTAAATCTTGGTCTGGATTTTTACATTCTAAACTGGAAATGTCCACCTCTGCAGAAGAGCACCTCTAAACACAGAACACGTCGAACTTTGAAGCAGATGGGCTACAGCAGCAGAAGACCTTTCCAGGTGCCAATATTTTCAGCCAAGACCAAGAGACAGGCTACAGTGGGCACCAAAACTGGACAGTGGAAGATTGGAAAAAATGTTGCCTGGTCAGCAGATGAGTCTCGATTTCTGCTGCAACATTCAGATGGTAATGTTAGAATTTGGCATTAACAACATGAAAGCATGGATCCATCCTTGTATCAACAATTCGGGCTGGTGATGTTGGTGTGACGGTGTAAGGGATATTTTCTTTATACGCTTTGGGCACCATAGTACCAATTGAGCATTGTTTAAATGCCACAGTGTACCTGAGTATTTTTGCTGACCATGTCCATCCCTTTATGATCACAGTGTACTCAGCTTCTAATGGATACTTCTAGCAGGATTATTCACCATGTCACAAAGCTCCTATCTCAGACTCGTTTCTTGAACATGAAAATGACTTCACTGTACTCAAATGGCTTCCACAGTCCCCAGATCTCAATCCAATAGAGCACTTATGAGATGTGGTGGAATGGGAGATTTTGCATCATGAAGGTGCAGCCAACAAATCTCCAGCAACTGCCTGATGCTGTCATGTCACCATTGACCAAAGTCTCTGCGAAATGTTTCAAGCACCTTGTTGAATTTAAGGCAGTTCTGATGGCAAAGGGGGGTCAAACCCAGTACTAGCAAAGTGTACCTAATAAAGTGGCAAGTGAATGTATAATTCACATAGAAAGCAGTTAACAATAGTCAGTATTAATACTACTCACAGATGCAGTCCACACAAAGTTATCACCTCAAGCGTGCAGCAGCAAATGAAAAAATGTGTCAGGACAGTTAGATACTTAATTACTTCCAAATCTGTCTGTAGTGTAAGTAGGGGTGTAAATCACAGCTTTCCTTGCGATACGATACAGTATCGATTCCTTAAGCCAGCGGTTCAAATTATTTTTTTGATACCTCAGAAATTCCCACAATGCGATACGATAAGATTTGATTCAGTTTGATACTGGGGATAGTAGTCGAAATTTCACACAATCCTTTACATTTCAATGGATTAAAAATATAATTAGCATTTTATCATATTTTATTGGGAACTGTAAACAAAATCTAATGTAGTCAAGTATGTCCCATAAATCAGGCAAAATAAAGTGCAATAAGGTAAAAATAAAAACTTTGGATGGATGTAGATTAACATGGTGAATAATTTATTTTGAATCAAGTCTTCTCCAGACAAATAGAAAAGTGTAACAAAAAGTATGTCCATAACTGTCATGACCTGCTCGTATGACCCTCTTGTGTGCTAGAGGCTTCTTACTTGGTCCAGCTCCCCCATTCATTTTTATATTCTTTCTTAAGTTTAGTAGAAATAAATTGGAGGCTAACTAGGCGACTCGGTAGCTTGCAGCAGCTGGCGCGATTGAACGCGTCATCCATCCTCTATTTTTTATGCCATACGATCTACCCACACTACCTTTGCGATCGACCAGTTGATCGTGATCGACGTATTGGGCACCCCTGGTACGTCGGAGTGGATCATGAAAACAATACTGGAACAGGCCAGAAACTAAAAACGCATGTATCGATATTTATGCGGTCACATCGATGCATCGGATCGTTTGCCGTTGAATCGATATATCGATACAAAACAATGTAAGTAATACTGAAGGCAGAAAGAAATTTCCACAAATCTCATGCAATAAAAGGAAATAATTTATAATTTTTTTTTACGTCAATCTTTAAGTCTAGCTGTCTTGCTCTTGTGCTCTTTATTGCAAGAAGGGCCAATTATCTCCCACCTTTCACTCGGTTTTTGAGCTCCACTTTTTTTGCTTTGTTTCATTCATTTTTAGCTAGTTTAAACTAAGCCAAACAGTCTGTCACTTAGCCACTTATTACTCACGGTTGTGTTGTCATTATACTGTAACTACACGTATCTAGGGGTTGCACGACCTTTTGAAGTCGAAGATTTTTTAAAGTCAACAGTTATGTTGTGAAAGTCGAGTTGACATGCACTAATTGCTGATGACATTAATAAAGTCACAGGAGAATGGAGTGCTTTGCAACAAGAGACAATCTGCATTCTCAAAACTCATGCATTTGTATATGCTGACAACAGAGAGCTCATACACGTACCTTTTACGTGGAACAGAAACAAGTAGAGATAAAAACAGGTTGTAACTAAGCAACAATTTATGCAACATTTGACAGTGCGGGAAAACAAAATTCATGTAAGATCTAGCCTCAGCCTGCTCCTCGCTGTAAGGCGCCTTCCCACCGAAGTTCAGGAACCTGGTTCCTTGTTCTGACTTCCTGGGCCATCTCGACATGTAGCTCTTGACCACTTTCACATGTTGCCTTCCCACTGCACAACAGGAACTGGACCTTTATGCTAAATAAGCACATATTTTCATATACTGCCATCCAGAAACAATGGTGGATAATGAAGTTGTTTTGTTAATTATTTGTTAGTTATTGGAGGGTTGGATTGCAATCAAAATGGGATGCAGCCTTTAATTTATTTTTTATTGATACGACCCACAACATGTTTAAAACGAATTATTATTTATTATTATTATTATTATTATTATGATTATTATTATTAAATCTGCCCAAAAGATCGTTTTTGTTTTCAGAATAAAATAATTAGAAATAATAATAAAATAATTATATAACGTTATGCCACTAATAAGCGCTGAAAAGTAAAAAGGTATTCATTAATGCAGTAAATGTAGCTCAGGTACAAAAATAATTCCAAATGCTCAGTTTTTGCTCCACTTTATCTCTCTTTTGCCTGCACTTCCACGTAACTGGTATTTTCTGAGGCGTCCATGTTGTTTGTGTCATAATTGCATCATCAGTGACTATTCAACATCTAGCTTAAAGCGTCATCGCAGAGCAGCAAAATCACCTCTTTGACTGGTCGACTAATCTGTAAAACCCTACACCTCTTAGGACCTCGGCCCTTGAGTAGCTGCCCCGTTTGCTCTACTCCCCCTACGCCATTGAACTTGAGCTGGACTCAAACTGATAAATTATAAGACCAAGTTATAAATATCTTATTTCTTAACACTGGTGGTGGCTTATAATCAGTTAATATTTAACATTCATATCCATCTCATTGAATAGCAGCTTTAGAGTTAATGTTTTTAATGGAAACAAGAGACATAGGCTTGGTATTTGGCTGCATATAGTATATTATAAAATCTTATAGCAGGGCTATACAAAATGGCTGACGGATACTGTTGCTTTTGGTTTTGGAATGTTGATTGTATTTTGCTCTCTTTCCTCAAGAACATGGAGAATAATGTCACCTGTAAGGAAAAACCCACGCTGGTGGCTAAACCCTACATCAGAGTGGACTTCTTTGACAGTAAGATGCAAGGTGTCCTTCTGACGTCTTTGCTGGTTACTATCATTGATAACAAGACTGTGGCACATATTGGAACCAGTGATGGACGCCTGCTTCAGGTACAGCTCAGATTTGCTATCAGCTGGTGGTGAGAACCCAAACCAGCAGTTTGTTATTTTCAAGAACAGACCTTATTTTTAACAGAATTTTAGGTTTTGACTGCTGGAACTCCATGTACTCAGTCTCTTTAGTTTCAAAGAATTAAGATTTCTGCTACACCTTTTGAAGCATGTCTGCTCATCATAAACGCTCTCCTGCTACATTTATTATTCATGTGGAATTTTCTTGAACTTTGGCACCGTTGTTGCAATTCTGTAATGGCAGGATATGCTATTGAACTATTTGACTCTGTTGTTTCTCAGGTTGTCCTAAGAAGATCAAATCCTATTGTCTTTGCCAATTACTCTTTGGTAGACAACCAGAAAGTGTCTCCAATAGCCACTGTTTTTTCAGAAGAGTCCCTTCTCTTTGTGGTTGGAAACAAGGTACTGTAACCAGGATTAGCTGTGAACAACTTTGAATAACTGATATCAGCCTTTTATCATTAATAACTGCCAGTAGCAGGATGGGTATCTCACCAAGTCTCTCCTCCTTGCCTTGCTCACCAGATGTTCAGTGTACCCCCGAAAGGCCCAGGGTGTCGTCACTTTCTGTCATGTGGCCTTTGCCTGACTGCACCCAAATTCATGGGGTGTGGCTGGTGCGGCAGGGAATGTTCCTGGAAGGATAACTGCAGCACTGAATGGAGGACAAACTCCTGTCAGCCTGTCATTACCGAGGTGAGACGCTGACATGGGAATCGGAGAGCGGAATGCAGTGGGATTCCTCCACAATTACAGATTCCCGCTTAACAGCATTGTTTAACAAGTTTGAACGAGTATGATAAGGATCTTCGTGTCATTCTTTCTGTCGTGTTTCCTACAGTTTCTTCCAAAATCAGCACCCCCTAATGGTGAAACAGAGCTGACGCTGTTTGGCTCGGAGTTGATGTCACCCTTACAGTCTGCTGACAGTGTGAGAGCTTATAGGGTAAAAGTAGGAGAGGCCGACTGTAAAGTGCTGCGTGAGAAAAGCAACAGCACCCAGTGAGTAACGCACAGCACAACAAATAACTGCAAGTACTGTAACACGCAGAAAATGAGGTACTCAAAGGGATGTGAGGCTGACCCTGAAGTAGAGTGATAGATTCAGTGAATGTCCAGTTACCCAAAACAATACAAATTTCCTTTTGTGTATGTATTTTGGTAAATATGAAAATAGAATACCGACTTGCAATACTTAAAGTTACTTCTTCCAGTATAACTATATTTAAAGAAGTGACAGGATATTAAAACCGATACAATACTAGTGAACGGTCCTTTTCTTTCTAGCTTATGAAAGTTTTTTTTCCTTTTCGTATAAAAAAGAATGAACAAATATATGAAATGTTACACCCTAGTGATTCACTGTTTTAGACAAAAAATCTGTATAAAATTTCATTGTGTCCAGGTGACCTAAGCGCTAAGCAACAGTCAGCCAATTGAGCAGTGGAAGATAAGTGAGTCATTATTAATCTCCTTTCCCAGAATAACGTGCCAGATACTTCAGGCAAATGCCAACTTGTCTCAGCTTGTCTCTATCTCTGTGGGAGTATATGAAGAGCCAGTAGAGGGATGCTACGTCATCGATGGTGAAACCGAAATGCATGGATTTATGTTTGTGGTAAAACCTTTGGCAGAATTACAGCTTTTCATTTAATAAAGAAAAATTAATCAGAACAAAACACTAGCCGCATTTTCACATTTTTACTTTATTTTGCTCTCAGCCAGAAAACATACTTTGAAGTAAGCCTGGAAAAGCTATCAGTTTTTTAAATATACAAAATATGTTATGTACTAATTGTCTATACTGTCTTCCCAGGAGCCACAGATCACAGAAATTCTCCCAGATTATGGGCCATATGTTGGGGGAACGCTGATTACAGTCAAAGGACCCTACCTGAATGCTGGAAGGAACAGACGTGTAACACTTAGCAATGAGATCTGCAAGATTGAGAGGTGAAGGATAATTTATCGGGCTCTAAATAGAATGTAAATAGTCTGCTTGTCTGCATATGAAGCCGGTTATTTTATCTGTGGTGAGAAATCGTGGTGCCCAGCAGAGATTGTTCATCTCTATTTACCTGTGTTGTGTCACATATGTGCTTATGCGGTAATGACAAAGTGTGGAATTGTAATCATCCTGAATTGGTAGCTAATACCCAACAATTGAAATGTTTAGCCTTTTAGATGTTATGAAAACATGTTGCTGCTCTATAGATGTTTATCTTAAGTTCATGTGCCTTGCAGTGTGTCAACGGGCAGCGGAAACCTTTCTTCCATTGTGTGCTCGTCACAGCCTGTGGCAGCCCCCAGACAAGCTTCTCTGTCTGTATACATTGACCAATCTGCAGTGCTCACAACCCAAGTGTTCCACTACATGGAGAAACCCACCATAACAGAAGTGCGCCCAGATTGCAGCTTTAAAACGTATGAACGGGTTTTCAACATTGTTTCAGAAGAAGGAAAGAGATTGAGGTGTTTCAGGGGGAGCGTTTGAGAAAACCTTTTAGAATTTATTATTCACCTTATCATATTCATCTTAGCATCAGGATTTTTCTTCCTAAATATCATATGGTGTTACAATTTCTTATTTGTGTTTTGTACAACTATGAACAACAAATAGATTTGAAAAAGTTGTATAACAGTATTCAAGTAACTTATAATCATGTAATTTATTCACAATGTAGCAATTTATTGTATTGAGCCCGGACTAAAGTAAGATTGGCTTAATTTCAGCCAGAAAAATATCCATAGTTGGACATCATGCTGGCTAACTGCTACTCGCTGTTTCTGGAATCAGGGATTACCAGGTTGTACATCCCTAGGGCAGGGCTATTCAATTCTGTCCCTCGATTCCAAATCCAGGCCTTGTTTTCAGTTCTCCCAGGTAGTTAGTTTAATAATTACTGATTCTGATTGGTCAGAGGCTTTACACCTGGCTCACAGGTGAAGGAAGGCTGGAAAATCAGCAGGGCTCGGCCCTTGAGGACCGTGAGTTGAATAGCCCTGATCTAGGGTAAACCCCGATTGAGACAGATGTTGTAGTCATGCAGTACAAGCTAAAGCTGTTCTGATATGTTGCACTACTGTTTCTAAAGGCCTGTTGAGAAAAGTGATTTGATAAACAGACTAGAAAAAGTATATGAGCCCTTTGGTATTACCTAGTTTTCTGCATTATAAAATATGAAGTGATCTTTATCTAAGTTGCAAGGGCAAACACAACATGCTTAAGCTAATAATACACAAACAATTGTCTTTCACATTTCATTAAACACCCAGTAAAATATTCACAGTGCTGTGGAAAAAGTAAATGAACCACATTTTTAAAAATTGCTTATTGACAGTCATGCTCATTAACAGTCATGCTGAGTTACTTGAAACTCTGAAATAATGTATATTTTTAAATTAACATTTTTATTTGATTTTGATTCATTATCACAACACCTTCTGGAAACTACAACACAATATTTTATAATGTGGCAAACCTGAAGGAACACAACATGTAGATTCTACACATGCATTTAAAAGCAAACTACTATTTTTTGATTTATTAAATTAACCTTAACATATTAAAGTTGTCCCTACAATATAAAATAAAAGTAGCTGGTACTGCTATTGTAATGATTTCCTAAGATTACACTATAATGAAAACTGCTATTAAAATGCTACTTAAAGTTAATGCTACCTATATCAGGTTGTGGATCTGCGTGTCTGACTTGTTTATAATACTTTGTGTATCTTTGATTAAGTGGATCCCAGATCACCATCAAAGGTAGCCATCTGGATTCTGTTTACAAGACCATCGTCCGATTTAAGCCCAAATTCCGGGACCCTGTACAGAGGGTACGTTTTATCTATCCTTCTTTTAATATTTTCCGTTGACTGACTATTCGCAACTTGCTGATTAATGCAATAGTCTTTATAAATTTTATGAAGTTGAATTGCTATGTTCCGGTGTCTGTTGAAGGCCTCACTTGCCGTAAGACTTAGACATCCAGTTGCAATGAGGAGGATTGTAATCCCCCTTAACTATTGTCTGTGTTTTTCATTTGGCCTCAGGATTGTATCAGGATAGCCAATTACACAGATCTGGAATGCATAACTCCTTCCGTGCCGGGAGAGGACTCAGTGGAAGGAATACTGTCCTTTGACATGGATGGTGCACGACAGCTCTGGAATCAGACATTCTGGTACCATCCATATGCGGAACCTTTTGCCTTCCATCAGGATAATAGAACACTACGACTGTCTTCTATCGAAGATGAAGTGACTGTATCTGTAAGTGTGAAATTAGGGATTCTGACCTTAGGCTTGCCAGTTTTTACATGAAAAGGAAAAACAAGTTTATGTCTAACTTGAACAAAAAGGCTAAACAAGTTTTTGTACCATAAAACGGTAAACAGTATTTCACTAAGCTTCTTAATTGCAGAGCTGGTACAAAATTACTAGACCAGATATGTCATTTTTGGACCTGGAATAATTATTATGAGACTTCACATCAAAATTGTTTACAGTGTGTTCAGTGTACTTCCGTGACAGTAGATTCAACTTGAATTACAAAAATGACACAAAAGACAAAAATGACCAGGATGGTAGATGTTATCAGACATTCTACAACTATGTTTACAGCACAGCAGACTCAACTTGGTGAATTCTTGCATGAAAATCATCATGACAGTGGGAGGAGTGGACTGTAATGTTAAAATCCTGGACAACAAAATCATCTGCAGAATCCCTAAAAACATGACTGTACCTAATGAAGGTTTGCCTGTGCAGGTGAGTTTTTTTGCATAAAGCTTTTTACTGTCTTCTCAGTTAAATTCTGCTTACCGTTAGATAGTTTCTGATATATATGCTACTTCATTACTGGGATAATGTATTTTTTGAGTACAAGGGTAAAGAATTTTTCATAACGATTGAAATAAAAAAAGAGGCACATATCTAGATTGCTTCCGTTACCTTGTCCTAGATAAGTGATATCTGGATAGTTTGAAGGCTGATCAATATTATATACCTTCGTCCATCCATCCCTCTTCTGTACCCGCTTGTCCTATTCGGAGTTGTGGGGGGTCCAGAGCCTATCCCAGAAGCTATGAGCACAAGGCAGGGAATAATCCAGGATGTGGCGCCAGCCAATCACAGGGCACACACACCATTCAGGCGCACATTCACACCTACGGGCAATTTGGCAACTCCAGTTCACCTTTGCATGTTTTTGGACTGTGGGGCAAAACTACAGCATGTTGAGGAAACCCTACGATGACACAGGGAGAACATTCAAACTCAACACACTTGGTGCCACGACAGAGACTCCATCTCTAGTTCCAGAGGTGTGATTGAACAGTGTTAACCACTGTGCCACCTAAATATGCACACAAAAGCATATAATTGTATTTTCAAGCAAAAAAAAAAGAATACTGGAGAGCAAGCAACATTTATGAGATGTTTGGGGGATTCCAGAGTGTACTGTCTGGGACTAAATAGTGTTCAATTGTTCCAGGTGTCTGTAAATGGGCAGCTACATGAAGTTGGCAGGGTGATTATTTCCACTAACAACGCTGAGGTTGGCATCATACTGGGAATTTTTTGTGCCCTGGTTACTGGGGCCCTTTTATCCTTCCTCATCACAAAATATCTGAGAGGGAAAAAAGAAGGTAAGAGCTGTCATTAGTATCAATATTCTGTTTCTGTTCATTTTTAACAGGCACAGTGCTGCGATAGATAGGCTTTTTGTGTAAATATCCAGTGCTAAACGTTGATACTCATTGAAGAGTTGCTGTTGTATCAGAGTTTGCCACATAATCTGAAAGATTTCAAATCCTCTTCCAGCTAAACTGGTGGAGCACCGCCTCTCTCGCCTTTCCAGCTATAACCAGACCCACAGCACTGTAGACAGGCCATTGGTGGGTGACTACAGACAAGGTGAGACCACACATAAGATACATAAACATACAGGTGCCTCAATTGCTTAAAAACTTGGGATATTCAGAGGGAGTCGGCTATGGTTAGATTGATGTATGTAATGCATGTGACAATATTTGTTTTGACCCACGTTTCCAAAATTATTATTTGAGTCTACACATTAGCAGAATCACAACATTAAATACAGTTGCCAGGCATTCCTCATCGACCCCCTTTCATGCATCCCCTTTCAGAGTCAGTCATGGAATCCCCAGGCTTCTCAGCAGTGGCAGCCCAATCGGGCCTGTCCTGTAGCAGCAACTTTGACACTTTGCTCACCCCACTCATGCCCCCTGAAAAGATCTCTGTCTCCAGTCTGCGCCCAGAGCTTTTGGAGGAAGTGAAGGATGTGCTGATTCCATCACCAGCACTCCGTGTGCACTACCATCAGATCATTGGAAGAGGTTGGGGTTCTTACCTTCGATACCGTACCTGCAAAGAAACAAGGATGTTTTAAACTATCTCTATTGGTTATATAAGGAATATATATATATATACAGATGCTCCTCAGCTTACGATGGTGTTACATACCGATGAACCCATTGTGTTGAAAATATTGGTGAATTGCAGTTGAATATGAATATGATATGATATGATATGATATGATATGAACTTAGGTGGCCCTCCAACTTCTAGGGAAAAATTTGGGGGATGGTGGCGGGATTGGCACTCCACCATAAAAAACTTCACACAGCTCCAAGAAGCAGACAGGACTTCTTTCTGCTCTTTGTGGGAGTAGCTCTGCTGCTGCTGCCCATAGGAAGGCTGCATGCAACATGAACGGGATGGGGAAGCCTTCAGAGGCACCATCCCTGGAAGAGTCAAGACCGTTGGTGAGCTAATAGGGTCAGGTTTGTTGGGGATTGGAACTGGTGTGGTGCCGAGGTGTTCTCTGCTGCATGGTCGCACTCAGGTCCTAGCCTGAGGTGGCTCACCTGGTTAGGTGCGTGGAACATCTTGTCTCTCTGGCATGATGACTATCTTCCTCTGCTGTCAAAGGAACTTCATAAACTATGCATTTCAGGCATGGTACTCTCTGAGGTACACAGACCGGGATGTGGCCAGATCTCTGTAGGTTGGTCTGGTCTCTCTGACGGCTGCTATACTCAGGGAGTCGCTGTTGCTGTGGTGGAAGGCCTCCCGATGATGTCCAATGTCACTCCTTCTAACAAGCGTATTATGAGACTCAGATTAAGGCTCTCATTGTGTATCTCGTCTGTTGTGTCTGTGTGTTACGAACACAGTGAGTGATATCTCAGTGACCACTGGCACTGACAGGGCTGGATATGAGGATTGTGTATATCCCCACGTGTCTGGCAACTGTGGAGAAAGTGGCTCCAGGTTCCTTGATTTTGCAAAAGGTCAGGGTTTGCAGGTCTCTGGATGAGGGGTGACCCAGCTGGGGGTAAGGAAGGCCGCAGGTAAGGCTGTCCTGACATTACAAACAATCTTTGCTTCTATTAGGGAGACGGGCATCATCCCAACTGACTGGAAAATGGGTTTGTTGTCCCTATCTGGAGAGGAAAGAGTGATCGCCTGGATTTCGGCAACTACAGGGGGAAAACACTGCTCTCAGTGCCAGGTGTGGTGGTCCTTGCTAGGGTCATCCTCAACAGGGTCTGTGATCACTTGCTTGCCTATCAGCAACTAGAGCAGTCTGGATTTACACCTAAGAAGTCTACAATGGGTTGTACCCCAGCACTAAGTCCTCATCTAGCGCAAACCCGAATATCGGTAGAGTTTTGAAGCCTTCGTCGATTTTCGTAAAGCGTTTAACTCAGTTGATCGAGCTGCCCTTTGGGACATCTGACTTTGCGGGATCCCTCCAAAATTGCTGGATGTCTAGGCCGGTCTGTACTCCAGTATTGTGAATGCTGTGCAGAGTGGAGGCAGAATCTCTGTGTTCTTCCCAGTGGATAATTGGGTACTTCAGGGGTGTGTTCTTGCTCCTACTCTGTTCAGTGCTTGCATGGACTGGGCGTTGGGCAGAGTCATGGGGTCCAGCATCTGTTGGCAAGGAGAGATTTACCAATTTTGACTTTGCCAAAGATGCTGTGATCTTCGTGGAATCAGTGGAAGCCCAAATCGGGGCTCCTGAGAGACTGAGCGAGGAGTCTGAGTGTCTGCTCTTGTGAGTGTCCTGGATTAAAACCAAGATCCAAGCCTTTAAGGACCTCTTGGGTCCTGGTGCACCATGACTTGCTATATAGCTCTGGATGCTACCCTGTGACCTGAGCCGAAGACTGGCCTCCTTTGGTACTGTGTCTCTTCAGAGAATCTCTGGGTACTGCTGATTTGACCTTGAATGACCTGTTGCTCAGGGAGTCCCGAATGAGGCACATTACCTACATTGTAAGGAACAGTCAGTTAGGGCCCTGAGGGTGATCCGGCTTGCAGAATCTTCATTGCTGGGGACCCAAACCGACCAGGCCAGGGGGATGCTCATATAACACCCGGCTATGGCAGATAGATGAGCACTTCCGCAGGGTGGAACTGCACTGCGTGTCAGCCTGGGGGGGTAGCCAACTGGGATCCCTGGCTGTTAAGTCATGCAGTGAGCGTGGCAATGTGCTGTACCAGTGCATGGTCCCCAACATGACCCGACCAGGCATTGAATAGACATGGGCTTTGGTTAAACACAGAAAAGAACACTGTACGATACAATGTTACGCACTGTATGAGATGTTTACATTCACTATTGCTACATTGACAGGAGGCATGGGGGGGTTTGAAGCTGCCATTGCCCATCATTAGGTGGAAGTCATATATGGTATATTCCTAGCCCAGGAACAGATCATAATTCAAAATTTAATATCTACTGAATGTGCACCGCTATTGCACCATCATAAAGATGAATTATCACAAGTTGAACCGTCGTAATATGAGGAGCATCTGTAATATGTGAGTCTGAAGGCGAATACAAACTCTTCTCTGTTTGATGCCTTTAATATATGTTTTTTTTTAGGTCACTTTGGAACAGTATATCACGGTCATTTTACAAATGAGAACAACCAGTTAATTCATTGCGCTGTAAAGTCATTAAACAGTGAGTAAAGGAATTGTTTTATATGATATTGAACACTTCTGTGGGGTTTAATAATGAACAAGAGATAGCAATTATAATTGTTACCTATTGCAGCATCACAAAAACATCTCAATAATGCATATTCCAGTAAGACTAGACCATTGCATGACTTTTATAGTCAGCGCTAAACCTTTCCTCTACAATGCATCATTTCATTTGTAATATAAAAAAATGGGAATGTGAATCAGTGTGAAATTGCTTCCCTCTATCTCCTGCCAGACACAGCCATATACAGTACATTGAATTGTAGACAGCTAATAATGAGGTTGTGTGCATAAATACATTGTGGGTTAGAAAGATATTAATACTGATGTTAATCCACACAGGAATCACAGAAATGGAGGAAGTGGAGCAGTTCCTGAAGGAGGGAATCCTAATGAAAGAGTTTCATCACAATAATATTCTCTCCCTACTGGGAATCCTCATACCTCAGGAAGGGCTCCCCCTGGTGGTGCTTCCTTACATGAAACATGGAGACTTACGCAATTTCATTCGCAGTCAACAGAGAGTAAGTGAGGAAAAGGATGTCAAGAAATCTCATAGGAAAACTTGTGGGAGAGATTGAATTTTAACCTTAGTTATTATTAACCAGATTTTATAGCAAGTTTTTAAGATTACTTTTGTGTGTTTAACACATAGATAAAATGAAAAAAGTTGAAATAAAGGTCATTCTGGCTAAAGAAGATATTGATGAAAAACTCACAGTAATCCTTGTAACTCAAGAATATGGCAGTTTTATTTCTGTTAATATTTATTTTTTTTATGGCTGAGGCCTGAGCTACTTACTGTTCTTCTTAATTACATCCCCTGCTAATATCAGCAGTAGTAGGTCTAAAAGGGGACCCCTGATGTTGCTATCTGACTCGACGGCTGCCATTCTTCATTTTTCTCCCAGAATCCAACTGTGAAGGACCTCATTGGCTTTGGCCTGCAGGTTGCCAAGGGCATGGAGTATTTGGCCCTGAAGAAATTTGTACACAGGGATCTGGCAGCACGGAACTGCATGTGAGTCACCGCTACTGGTTTTGCATAGAAGCAAGACAGAAACTTGCCTGGAAGTTTTTAAGCTATTCATAACTGCTTATGCAGAACTTCCCTGCCCTCCTGGAAATCCCAGGTGTCTCCAGTAAATTGACAGTAGCTCCCTGACACCCAGAAATAATATCCTGGAAAACTTATATATTTTTGTGAACAGTTCAGGCATTTTAATGTCAGCGCAATAACTCAAAAAATGTTTGATGGATATTTTTCAAACTCTGCAAACATATTGTATGGATTGTATCCCACAAAATGGAGCAGTGCCACATATTGAAGCAAAACACTTGATCTTGTTATTGTGAAAACAATAATTTGACAGATCTATTTCAATCTGTGCAAATTTGTATGAGTCAAATTGCACCAAAATTTAAGCAACTGTACTTAGTGGCAGGAAAAGGAAGGGTGACCACAGAAGAAAATTGACCTTGTGAATCCGATAACTACAGCAGTCCCATAATTAAACTGAATGGACTACCATAACCATACCTCTGTTATATTCAAAATGCAGGTTAGATGCAGTAGTTTGTAATAATGTCATGAAAACATTCTGTGCCCTCATTGATTTGTCGGTTTAAGGTATAGTATAGTTCTGTATGTAGTTACTTTTATTATTACTGTTTAATTATTATTGTTATTATGTACTGTATTATTATTTTTCCGACATACCTACAAATTCACTTTAAAGACAGACTTCAACAGGTACAGATTCATAACATGGGGCCTGCCTGTATTTGTTCTTTGTACTTTGTACTTGTGTTGTTTTTGATGGATCTTGTTGCCACTTAAAAAAAAATATATATTATGTGAATGAAAATCTACACTTGATTGCATTTCAAGACAGATCACCTCAAAACTGAAACAGAAGCACTAGGTGGCAGCAGAGACTGGAAAAGGTGGCTGCAGAAGCACCTTTATTTAATTTTGAGATAGCATACAAAGTAGTAAAATACAAAACAGTAAAAGTGCAAGTATATTATGAGTATTCTCCATATTGACGAATTGATTCACACCTTGATTTTTGAGCCACAGTTCGGTTCATACAGTTTTTTTGTTGCATTTTTTTTTTCGTTGCATTTTTAACAAATTATGTGTATTACCTATGACACAATTGCCATCCCTATACACCACTGGATAACCAATTATGAAATGAAAATGTAACATTAGTAATGTAATGAAATGAAATACATAGTTAATAAGCACCATTAAAAACTGTGCTGATTAATGATCTGTTTCATTTTGGCACGCTTGGGTGGTATTACAGTAATATGGTATACCGCAGAATTTTAGTCTTGTGAAATTTATCGTGGGCGAATCCCCTGCCAAGATACTGGAATAACATTGCTCTTGAAAATTGCGTATAATGTGGTTGGCATTTGATGTCATTATGGTATAAGGCCTGTTGTAGTGGGATAGAGAGAGAGATTGGGGAGTGTGGGAGGAGTAGGGATTAGATAGGGGTGGCAGGACCGTCTGGGGAATATATCTGTGTCATTCCAACAGCATAAAGTATTTCCCCTCTTACACTGTGTGTGTGTGTGTCTGTGTGTGTGTGTGTGTGGATCTCATCCATCTCCCTGAAATTAATATGCTTAAGATCGAATGTCTACTGAATTATCAGTGATGGAGTTCATTTTGCTGCTATATGGTAGCAGTTTTTTATTTTAAAAAGTAGCCATTAAGAGTAGAAACATGATAAATATTGACATTCTACTCAACTTGGCAGGCTAGACGAGTCATACACTGTGAAGGTGGCGGATTTTGGCCTGGCTCGTGATGTTTTTGATAAGGAGTATTACAGTGTCCAAGACCAGAAGAGAGCCAAACTACCAGTCAAGTGGATGGCTATTGAAAGTCTACAGACACAAAAGTTTACAACAAAATCAGATGTGGTGAGTGTCTGAGCACTAAAGTAGCACCTTTTTGGTAATAAGAGGAGTCTAAAATTATCCAGTAGCGTGTATCAATTTTTCCAGTATTCAAATATCTACTCGTGGTTAAAATCTATTGTACTCCTGTTAATCTCCTGTCATTCAGTTGTAATGCTGACATATCTTTTCCACAGTGGTCCTTTGGGGTTCTTATGTGGGAATTGCTGACCAGAGGAGCGAGCCCCTACCCAGATGTCGATCCCTATGACATCACTCGTTACTTGTTTAAAGGACGCAGACTCCCCCAGCCAGAGTTCTGCCCAGACTCTCTGTAAGTTACAGTGTTAATGGAATTTTAGTAGAGTTTCATATTGGAATCTAATAGTTAGGCATTTCTCTCCCATATAGCTTACAACATGACATGTGAATCTGGTCTGTGCAGAACTATTCCTTTATATTTTACATTTACATCTGCAGTTTACACATTTAGAAGATGTTTTGTCCAAAGGAATGTACAAGTGAGGTAAATAGCACACTGCAAACAATTGTGCCGGCAAGGAAACAACTAGGCATAAGTGCAGCTAGGCTGAGCTTCCAATGAATGTCCAAGTACAAGTGTAAGCAGTATAGGAGCAGGAGTTACACAACAGCTACTAACAAAGCAATAACCTAATAAAACTATTGAAGAACCAGAGGTGCAACATTCTTCCTATGAAGTCAGTTCACCATGTTGACTACGAGTACAGAATGTCACCTTACCACCAGATTTATCCCAGACCTTGACATGGGGTGCTTTTGCAAGATGTTGGGGTTCATCCAAGTGTTTTGACTGATCACTGTACATATAGTATAATATATATTACATATATAATTTCTATATTATGAGATAAATTCTCTCACATTTAAGGAGAGCATATGTTTTGCTCGGAATAGAAAATGTTCTAATATCCGATTTAAGGCTGCAAATAAGAGCATAAGGACACATCTAAGGTCCCTCAAATATGTGCATGCATTTTGGATTTCTAACATGGCTGGTTAAGTATAAAAGTAACAGATTCATCTGCTCATACAGGTACGCCATCATGCTGCAGTGCTGGGACCCTGATCCAGAGAGAAGACCTACTTTTGCCACCCTGGTCACTGAGATCAGTGAGATCATCTCTGGCCTGGAGGGGGAGCACTACATCAACGTAAAAGTCAGTTATATCAATCTGGACATGCCACACCCCTACCCAGAACAGCCAGACACTGCCTGCGGATGTGACTCCCCCACCACTGACAGCTCCTGTTCCACCCCGTCCTGAACGTGTCCACATGATCGCACAACCTTAGCAACTGTCAACCCAAACACTGACTGCAGCAACGCTGTCGTCATACCGTTCCTGCCATAACGTGTTCTTGCAAAACCTGTTTACGAAAAATCTTCTGATCCAGTTGTTCACTGGCATCTGCCGCAGTACTTGTCCAAGTCCGTTTGGTAAAACAGCTCGGATGTGGTCTCAGCAGTGGGAGTCTGGATGCCTTTTTTTTTTGGCAGCTTGCACAAGCGGATGGTTTAAGTGATTTCTGTGCTTCCATGTGTCACTTTGAATAGCAAAAGTTTGGATGATGTTGATGACGACCACATACCTGACATTCTTCATAACCGAAATACAATGTGGCAGCTCGTTATCCATGGAGATGCACCTTCTACCACTCACATCTTTTTTATCCATACATAATGTTTTATATTTACCAATGAATGCAATAAATGAATGTGATTTACAGAACAACATTTCGCTGTCTCTTGTTTCTCTTATTTAAGGTTTATCTTATGTGTGGTTTGAGTTGTAAAGGAATAGCCTATTGATTAATGCATAATGGGATATATTTAAAATGACTTGAAATGTGCAGATCAATAAGAAAAAAAGGTTTGAAATGTTCTTTGTAATATAGTAAGTAGGTGGTTCAAAAGGTTTGATCCATGTAGCTGTATAAAAACCTTATTTTTTAAAAACATTTTAAATGATCAGGACAGTTAATATAAGATTTTGACAGCAGCAATATGCGTAATATACTGGCTAGACATGTGGTCATTTGTTGGTACATTTAGCATCAACTATGAACAAAAACCTGTTTTTTTCACATGCTTTTTCTCATTCTCCATTTCTTTTGTGTTTTTTTATTTTATAGTTCTATGGTTCTCTTAGAGTTGCTTGTTGGAAAAATTTCTCATGAATATTTCAGCTGGGACCAAGGCTACACAATTTTCTTTAACATAACATAATATAACACAAAATTTGATTTGGTACAATAAGTTTGTATATTAGGTTATATATGCAGCAGGCATGAATTGCTATTTTGAAATACCACAAACTTGAGATTAAAAGACTATGAAGGTCCTCACTCCAAAGATTCACCTTCGATTTATTCTTTTGCAAGTGTTGACGTTTTGTATAGTGTTTTCCAACAGGGGGCAGTATATCCTGCATTTGCTGAGAATAAGCATATCGAAGACCATTGCAGCACAACATACAAAACAGACACAATAGATCAGATAATAAATTAATACTTCTTGGCAGGTATCTCTTAGTGTTGTAATATTTAACAGATGCATAATGAAAGGTAGCTGTTTACCATTGAATAAGATTTTCATGTTTAAGCAAATACAACAAAGTTGGTATAAGCCATCAGAATTAGAAATCAGTTGCTCATTAGCATGCTTTTACGTCAGCATATTTTATTTAAACCTTTCACACTTATGTAACAGTGAAAGGGCCATACATGTCTAGCATCATGCTACGGTGTCCAAAGCTGAAAATGGAATAGTCAGTGTCTTTTTTGAACCATAATATTATACACAAATATCAGTCTGTCATTAGCACATCAGATGAACAAAAGCAGAATGCAATTAGTGCATCAATGCTTTTATTACATAAAAGTTCTTGACAAGCGGTGTGTCATTAAAGTTATCTGCGTATCGGAAGATTTCAGCAGCTTTTTTTTCCTTTTTCTGGCATGTCCGTTATTTTGTGATAATTTGCCGACTTTAATGGTACTTTTTTGTTATTGCAAACAATATGGATAATAGCTAAATTACATTATTTTTAAGAAGAATGATGTAATGTTCAGTATTATTATTGTTGCCATGATGATGTAATTCAAGAGAATGTGCTTTTGCTAGGTTACGTTCTTCCAGAAACTTAATATAAATTATAAAAACATATTTTTGAGAATTGTAGCATAGCAGTGATTTTGCTAAGCAATAAGTAACAAATTTACACTGGCAAGCCAATAATGCTTGATGGTGGGAATTCATTTTAAATTATGCAATATTTACCAGTTTTGATTAAGCAGTAGTATTACTATGGACTAACATACTGCATTCTCAAGAAATGAATCACGAGCATATAGTGATGAGAAAGGAAAATGCAAGGGCATTGGTTTGGGTATGGATGGTAAGGAGATGTTCCCACCAATACTGAGGGATAAATGTGGGCATTTCGAGGGCGGGGTTCAGGGCGAGTCTGCTTCCTACTAACCTTAGAAAAATGGATGTTCTTGTTTATGTTTGCATTTCTGAGATTAATAACTTCTGGTATTCTTCTATCACTAAATGAGGAGGAGTCCTGTCATAAAAATGTGTCAACGTTTAGGATTTTCTTTTTTTAAATGCTGAAGAAAATCAGTGAATTAATCTTTAAATCCCCGCCATTAAGTTGTGTGGTGTGCAGTCTAACACACAGAAAAAAAACACCCTTTGTAAAGATTAAACCAAAAAATATAATGAAGGTCTCCTCAAACAAAGACTGATTTTGAAGTCTGTATGACTATATATCTCCTGAACATTATCACAGATTATCAGTCTCGTCATCCATGTACATTTCTCATGTGAAACAATGATTTTGGAGGCTTTGATTATTTCCTTTTCTTGGCCATTACTTCATACTGCTAACGTGTCTTTTTTTAGAGGCAGGTAGTTTCATATTCTTCCAGAACCCAGCGGACAGTGATGCGCGATACTGGAATAGACAGGCAGAGGGCGGCAGCCTTGTCATTGCAGATTACTGTCCAGCTCTCTGACCAATCACAGCCTAAAAATATAAAAGCCAAAAAGTAATAATAGTGTGGCTCGGTGCATGAGGTCTGACTGGGGCAAAATAACACTGTATATTTGATAAAAGTGATCAAATATGTTGGAAGAATATGGTAAGATTTTCCATCCATCTGTCCATCCATCCATCCATCCCCCCATCCGTCTACTTATTCTGGTCAGTAAAGTGAGAGATTTTGATTTGTAGTGTGCTTATCAAGATTGTCTCAATTGTCATTCGCTTATAAGAAATGTAATCCCATATGTTTTATAGCATGACTTTGTGGTTTTGAAAGAAATGTTAATTAAATAACTTGCATCAAATTAAAAAAAAAATTCCTTAGGCATATGTACAATATATGGTGGAAATTCAATTAACATTTAAACTACAACAGAAGGCAAAATTATTAAAATGACCTGATTGTGATATTTAAAACGCATGAAGATACAGCATGAAGAGAGAAAAAACACAATAAATATTGAAAACAATAGCATAAAATTCATACCAAAATGAAATAGGTCTCAGATCTACAGATTCCATTCTTCCAAACTTTGCAGAAACATTGTATGGTTAAAGAACTGGAATTGATTCTTAGACAAATTTCAGCAAAACATTTAGTGGCGTCAAAGCAAAGTATGACTGCAGAACAGATTTGACCTTGTGAACGTGATAACTCAAAAAGTATTTGATGTGCTTTTCATCTTATTTCCGCTTTACAAAAACATTATATGGATGAAGATCAAGATCTGAGTATATTTTGAGACAAACCATTCCAAAACTGAAGCAGCAGCACTAGGTGGCAGCAAAGGAAGGAAAGGGTGGCTGCAGAGGATGCTTGATCTTGTGAACTCTAATAGTATTCCATGGATCTTTTTCAGACTTCCCAGGAACATTGTAGAGTCAATGATCTGTGGTCCATTTCATTTTGAGACAAACTGAAGCAGTGTCACTTAGATCCTATACTGCATTCATGCTACTACAGAAGACAGAAAATAAGTATGTTTCCATTTATCGATATTTAAAAATTGTCGTTCCTTCTAACTGTGGTGAGTTTTTCCATCCATCCATCCATGTTCCATCTGCTGATTGTGGTCAGGGTTGCTGGAGTGGCCTAGATCTTGGGACGTCACTTATAAGCCATGGATTATTGTTAAAAAAAAAAAGAAGTAAGGCATCAAAAAGAGATCTTAGCTGCTTTGTCCTCATTCACCTTGGAGGTTTTTTGTGGGAGGGGTGTTTTTTTGTGCTAGACTGTGCCTGTGCTATCAGTGGTCCCACTTCAGAAAACGCTAGAAGTTCATAGCTCCACTGAGTTAGCACCACTCAAGGTTTCTGCTTTGTGTGGCTTGTGTTCATATCCAAATGAAAAAAAGCGAGCCAATCTGTAAAACCCAAGAAAGTAGACAGGAGGAAGGTGATAAATGGAAGGCAAAAGAAAAGACCGGCGAGTGGACAGGATGATAGGCATGAAGAAAAGAGGTTGGCAAATATTTATACTTTATCTTCAAGGCCATGCAGTGATGGTGGGTTTTCTGTATTTTATCTGTTTTATGAAAGAGATTCTGTGACCTTCTTCACCCGCAGTGTTTTTGAAGGCATATTATGTCAAAATGTCATAGAATTTCCAAAGCTTTGTGTTCTTACAGTGGGAAAGTGTTTGTACCCTTTGTAATTACCTTGTTTTTTGCATTAATTGGTCATAAAATACGTTCATTATCAGTAAGGACAAACACAAAGGGCTCTATTCTACCTTCAGGTGCTTAAATGCAAAAGGTCCTTAAAAAGTTACACATTTCTGAGTTATGCATTTTCTCCCCTCATCAGCGTGGCCACGCCCACCACACGTAACCAAAAAAAGAAGGTGCGGCTGTGCAAGAAGTGAAATTTATTTATCGAGCAAGAAATAGGGGTTACGACCTCAATGATTTAGGCAACAAGCAAAACGCAGAACATGGACTATTTCATTTACATTGTGAACGTAATTGAAATCCGCAGAAACCCTTTTATTTTCAAAATGAAACGATGGCAGTAACCACATACATTAAACCCCAGTCATTCTCAAAAACGCAAGAATCCTATGACAAAAACAAAATGTTACAGTAAAATACAGTGCTTGAATTTTGTGTAGAGCAACTGACATTAAATTTACTTATTGGGTCAGGGGCATCAGAAGCATTTTGAATGTGGGGGGGACACACTGGCATAAAACCAATATTTTATGTTAAATTTGGGGGGGTCCAAACAAATAATTATGAAATGTGAGGGGGACACGTCCCCCTGAGATTTAATGGCGGCTACGCCCATGTATTAGCTATATTAAAATATGTAATTTATAGCTTTGATTTAATGATCCCTTAACCATTTTCCCCAAATAGACACTACCGACGCAGTTTTTCAATCATTCAACTTCATTGCAAGTAATACACCATAGACAATCTGTTAGTATAATAAGACATACATAAATGAATAGCTTTGTATTGTGAATCGTTTTACTCTGCAATGGGCATTATCCTGTAGGATACCTTGATAGTCTCGGTAATTCATTTCCCCCCTCGAGAATGGCAAGCTGTCTATTCTCCGCGGCAGCAAAGCCGCCCCATATCATGATGCTCCCTGCACTGTACAGTACTTCACCGTTGGCATGATGTTATAGTGTTAGTATGTTGTGCCCTAAGGCACCTTTTTCTTCCCAAATAATCAG